TTCCTATGCATACTATCAGGTGAAGTCCATGTGTATAACCTGCGTTTGTGTCTCTTATAAAATGTATTTGCAATGAATAAGTCATTGATTTTACATAGGCTGGCAAAATAACAGACAATCAGAAAACTGAACTTCTTGGAAGAAGTACAATCAGAGTGCTTCTTAAAGGTGAGAATGTTGAGACTTTGTCTTGTTTACTATGGGCATAATGTCAGGAGGCACTAGTCCCTGGAGAAGACCATCATGCTTGGAAATGAGAAGGACCATTGAAGGAGAAGACCCTCAATGAGAAGAGTTAAGGTCTTGCCTTCAACAATAGACATTATTATTAGGTGCCATCAAGTTGAATACTACTCACAGGGACCCTGTAAAGAATAGATCAGAACTCTATCCTGCCCTGTGCCAACCTCACAATCTCTGACACACTGGAACATATTGCTTCAGAAATTGTGTCACTACTCCCGGTTGAGGGTCTTTCTTTCCTTGTCATCCCTCCACCTTTCCAAGCATGTTATGCTTTTCCAAGAAATAGCCTTTCCTAGTAACATGCCCAAAGTATGCGAGACAAAGCTTCACCATCCTTGCTTCCAGGGAGCAATTTGGCTTCACCTTCTCCAAGACATATCTGTTTGTTCTTTTGGCAGTCCATGAGATACCTAGTACTCTTCTTCAGTACCACAACTCAAAGGTATCAATTCTTCTGTTGTCCTTACTCATTATCCAGCTCTCAGACACATAGCAAGTGACTGAAGAGATCATGGTCTGATTCTTAGTCCTTAAACTAACATAATTTGTTGAGGTCTCTGACTGCAGACTTTCCCAGTACCCAACATCTGATTGCCCATCTGCTGGTGCCAAGTATATTTACTGTGGATCCAAGTAAGATGAAGTCATAGACAGTTTCAATCTTTTCTCCATCTATCAAGATGTCACCTATTGACCTAGTGGTGAGAATTTTTTTGTTTGTTTTCTTGATGGTGAGATACAACCCATATTGAAGGCTGCAGTAGACTTAAGAATAGTAGAAATTGTGCAGTGTTTCTTTCATTTGTACATAGGATCACTTTGATTTAGAATTAAGTTGATAGCACCTAACAATAACAACAACACAGTCTTATAATAATTCTAACATTACCATCACAAGTTTATGTTGTTGTTAGGTGCTGTTGAGTTGAATGGAACTCATAGCAGTCTCTCAACAGCAGATCTGAATGTTGTCTTAGCCTCTATCTTCCTCATTATCTCTGACATTATTGAGCCCTTTGCTGAAGTCACTGTGTTAATCCAGATCTGCATCATAAGAATGCACAATTTATAATACGTCAGTTATATCTGAATACTGCGATGAAAAAAGAGAAGGGTTCTCTACCTGATAATTGGATGTGTGGGTGAGAGAAGCTGAGGTTGTGTAATCCTTTCACTAAGTAGAAAATCTTGGGAGGAGACGATGTCTCTAGACAAGATTAGAAACAAAGCAGCCCACAGTGAACTTTGCTGTGTTTATCCTTAGCTGTGTTATATTTAGAGAACATATTTGACATAAAAATGTGCATATTTCAAGGTCGCCATTAAGTGTCATCTATAGTTTTGATACCTTTTTATTCATATTTAGTTAATATTTTTCAAGATTATTTTATTAGGGAAGGAACAAGTTAAAGTTTAGGTTGGAGACACTCAAGATACAATTTTTTAATTAAGACAGCCTCTCAGGGATGTTCACAGGCCTTTCTAGGTCCTGCCTCATGGCTCTGGACCAGTGTTACAAAGCTCATTCTTCCAATTGTTATTGTTAAGTGTCATTGAGTTGCTTGTGACTAATAGGGATCCTATGTACAACAGCTCTGAACCCTGCTCTATCCTGTGCCAAACTCACCATCTCCGACCACCTCCTCCAGCCCCCATCACCCTAGTCACTGAGTCAATCCATCTCAACCAGGATCTTTGTCTTTTGCTCTGTCCCTTCACCCTTCCAAGCTTGATGTCCCTCTCCAAGGACTGTCTGCCAAATAATTATGTACTGCCAATTATGGCCCTAAACACCCCACCCCTCACCTCCTTTACCAGTAAGCTTATTGAAGGCTCTTTGCTCAGGCTCCATGGGGCAGCAGTCTAGTTCCACTCTGTTTTACAGTGTGGTTCTCTGCTGTCTTTGTTACTGCTGTTGCTGCTGCTGCTGCTACTACAACTACTGCAGTTTGACCTTGATTCATCTTGCGCAGGAATCTGACCTAAGAGACACCTGGTACTTTCTGCTGCTTCTTGATGAATGAGAATCACATGTTTTTTTTAACTTTACAATTTCAAGTCATGTAAGTGGTAGGCTTTTATTAAATTAAAAATGTCAAATGTTAATTAATGGCACGTTTATATTTCTTAAAAGGAAGTATTTGTTAAAAAAGGTAGAGATACACTTAGAAGTGAGTCCATAATGTTCATCAAGAGTCACTGGATAAGGTTACTTACTGCGTTGTAGAACCAACCTACATCTCTCTCTTCCAAGGATGTCATGATAAACTTATTAAATGCTTTGCTAAAATAGAGATGAATTTTTTATAACATTCCTATGATCTGTTAAACTCATAACTCCATTTCTCTGGTGTGATATTTATTTATTCCTTCAGAAGATATTGACTGTATACCCCAATATGTGCCTAGCATGGTTTTATGTACTTGGGCTAAATCAGTCACACAAAAGATAAAAAGATCTTTTACCCTTGGAGTACTTATCACAGAGGAAGATGAACAGTACAAGTATGTGTATAACATAAAAGTTAACTAACAGAATACTTACAAGATTATGAAGAGTATGGTGTTTTTTTAAAATTTATTTTTCATTTCAATGAACATCTGCAGAGATTTTAGAATTCCATTCATTTATTGTTGCACCC